CACATTATTGATGTAGAACAATTATGATATGATGATTTGTTTATGGCTTTTGCGATGGTAATGCTGCGCGGCAGAACGCGAGTACGGCAGAAGGTTTCCAAACAGAAGGCTGACATCAAGGAGGACATTCCTCACTGTATTCCGCAATTTAGCTGCAACCGTCACTTTTCGAAGGGATCATAAGATGGAAACTTAATTTTGATAACAGACAACAAGCTATTTTAAAAACTGTTTAAAAAACTTTTTTATTTCAAATAGAAGGTTGTGAATAAAATGACATTTTATTCTTCACTTGTGTCACTGTACTTCGTTAAAAACCTCCAAGAATAATTAATTATTGAATAAATGCTAACTTTACAGCAAAAATATATCTAACAACAATTATCGACAAGTAATTCAAGATTTAAGGTAAAAGAAAAACTATGATCCCGCTACTGTGCTAGTTCTACAGTTAGTAAATGAATATCCAACCATGTCACTGAGGAGACACTCAGAATACTTAGGAATTGTGAAAAAGACCCACATACAAAAAATTTTCAAACAAAATAAGATTCTGGCTTACAAACTAATTCACAACCACACTTTAGAGGAAAGCGATGGAGCGAAACGTCTTGATTTTTGTCTGTCGATCGGAGATATGGAACGAAATTTCCATTAACAGATTATGTTTTCGGACGAATCCACATTTTTTACAAGTGGCATTGTTGCTTCAAAACATTTGGAATCCTCATTTTAAAAATAAATGTTTGATGTGCGGTATCCTTTTATGGAATAATAGGACCATACTTCTTTGACGATACATGCAATGGAAACAGCTACCTGATTATGCTCCAAACGTTTTTTACTACGAATCGGACAATTTACCAATGGCCTACCGAAATTGTTTTTATTTTCAGCACGACGGTTGTCCGGCGCATTCTGCTGTAACTATTAGGACCTGGCTATAGAACACATTTTCCAATCGCTGGATTGGCCGGCATGCTCCATATTAATGGCCCCCGCGATGTCCAGACTTAACAGTCATGGACTTTTACTTGTGGGGCCGACTCAAACAGATTGTGTATAGCAGACCTTTGGACAATAACATCGAGCAGCTAAAACAACGAATTAAAGATGCTGTACAGTCCATATCTTTAGAAGGGATTTTACGCAGCTACAATGAAATACTTGCACGCTTTCAAATTTGTGTGAAAGTTGACGGAGGAGTGTTTGAATAATGCTTTATTATACATATATTTTTTTCCAAAATTATGTTCTGTAAAAAATTAAACCAATTTTATGTGCGAATTATTTTATTTAAGAACTCAAGTAACTTTTTTGCACGACTTTTGGAAAATATCACTTTTTAGAAATATTAAAAATAAAGGTAGTTTACTCTCGCGACAAATTCAGATTTTTTTATTTTCTACATGAAATGTCAAGTTTCACCATGGCAACCTCATTTTAAATTCAAGCAGAACTTTTTATCAAGTGTGCCTTTTTCCGTAAAATGTAAAATAAAAAAGTTTTTCCTCTTTCTTATTCACCCTAACCACGGACATAAATATTTATAAATAATCAAAGTAGGCCAATTTTTCCACAAATTGGAATTCTGTTGTATCTTTTAATATGGAACAACTTTTCCCAGTGACACTTTTCAGAAATATTAAAACTCATGACATTTTGAGATTTTTTTATTTTCTGGACACCCCGTACATGAAATGTTAAGTTTCACCATGGCAACCTCATTTTAAATTCAAGCAAAAATTTTTATCAAGTGTGCCTTTTTCCGTAAAATGTAAAATAGAAAAGTTTTTCCTCTTATTAACCCTATCCGCAGACATACTGTATACATACATTTGAAATAAAAAAGTTGATTTCTGCGTTCACTATTTCCAGAAGTAAATGATCATTTAAATGCAGATCTGTATAGAACTTTCTTGAAAAATAACCTTTTTGATTTCACTGATGACATAGGGCTTAAATATTATGGTGCACCAGCTAAATGATCATTTCTCTAATAAATGGATAGGTCAACAAGGTCCAATAGCATGGCCACCGCGTACCCCAGATCTAAATCCTTTGGACTTTTATTTATGAGAACATATGAAGCAGCTTGTCTACCATATTGAAATCACTACCCGTCAATAGTTATTTGAAAGAATTCAGGATGCAACTAACTAGATAAAAATGATCCAAATCTCATCCGTTGAATAACAGTCTTTAATTCGCCGATGTAAGGCTTGCATTCGAGCCGAGGGTGAACATTTTGAACTATTTTTATAGTCTAAGTTTTTTAATTTGGTTAATAAAGGTTAACTAATGTTTAAACTTTAAACACAAATAATAATTATTTTTATAGCAATTATTTTTAGGATACCTACTTTGAAATATGAAATTATATTTTTTAAAATGCTTGTAACTTCTAAACAAAAATGAATCGGACCTATGTTCATATAAGAAAAAATATTTAAAATTAACCCAGCTGTCTGTCTGTCAAAGTTTGTCATAGAGCTTGTAGAACAGCCTGTATAAATACCGGAACAAAACTAGCTCCGAGGGCTCCACCTACAATTTGCCCCTCGCATGAGATTTAGTCTGGCCAAATGAAATAAACTGAACTATCGGCGATTTAATTTATTTCAGTTTTACATATTTCACATATTGTTTTTTCTTCTCCCCAATTGTATTAGCAATTTCTCTTCATTTATCTTTTTTGCTTTTTTTTTAATTAAAGTCTAGGATTCCATAAAACTTAATGCACGCCACAACGAACCTCCTTCGAAAATGTCACAAGTGATATTGTGAATATCCTTTGAGCTCATCACAACTGACCAGAAATGAATTGTAGTAAACTAGCAGTGAGCATGAATTGAACAAGTTGCTACGGTCATACACATAAAAAAAAAAACTAGGCTGCAGGTTTAACTTGTGCTCGTCCAGTAAAATGTATATGCATCTTGATTAATTACTATAAAAGTAAAAAAGAGGGCTGGAGTTAAATTTGTTTTTGAGCTTCTAAGTCCTTTCCCTTTAGGGATTTTAGCAATTCTGAACAGAAATTTACTTACTTATTAGCATGACGTCCTAGATGTTTTTTGTAGTTATTTTCCAAAAATATATCGCCATCATATTTCTCACTTTTACTCCAGTGATTTGGATCAGTTAGGGCTGGATGTCTATTATCTTTCCCCAATATTCCTCCTTTACCATCTTTTTTATTTTTGTTTTTGTTCCTTATTCCTCTCGGAACTGGATCTTTTAAGCCATGATGATTGCGTGAAATTTTTTGTTCTCCATTTTCTGATGGTGCAATCAAGTCCCATATAAAACTACGAATTTTTTCATCTCCTCTGTAGAATCTCAGGCAGTAGAGCAGCTATAATAGAAAATGTATTTTTATAATTAGGAAAAATTTTAATTACAAAAACGTTTTAAAGGGCGAATACTGTTCAATGGCAGTTTTCTATTTACTTACCACTTCGTTATAAAATAATTTTTTTAAAATATTTTGGGTTTTTAATTTTATAAGTTATATTATGTAGAAAATAAGTCCTCATGTTCTTCACGTCATTTATTCTCTTTTTCTTGTTTGTGTTCAACGAAAATTTCCACATATAAATTATCAAGCATTTTAACTAAGTAATATGTAAACAAAATATTGTGCTTCAATTAGCAGGCCTACTTTATTGTAAAATTTGTCTTAACAGTGCAATTCACAAATGAACCGACACAAGGCTACTTGTAGGGGACCTTAAAAATGGTGCTTTATCACAACCTACCTTTATAAGTTACTTATTTCATTTAGCCGCTACATGACAAAGTTGTTAAAAAATGTTTAACTATTTCTAAATAACTCCAAAATGCTTAGTCCGATTTAATTTTAATTAGGTATGCTAGAATGTGTGTATAGATGTCACTTTTTCACATAGTAACTAAAGTAATTGCATTTACAGAAATGGGAAGAATACTCCGACTCCTAAGTAAATATGCTTATATATATTTTTTTGTTTTTCAACATTAGGTCTTACTTTAATATAAGCCAGGGATCTTGTACAAGTTTTTTATTTCGTAAATTTTTTGGTGTACCTAACGGTTTTTGTGTAATTAAGTAATATATTATTAGTTATCACCAACATATGTTTTCGATACAAATAAAAATAAAACAAAGTTGAGAAATTCGTAAATGCATGCTCTTTCATGAAAATTATTGGAGATGTTTACCATTTTCAAACATTCATTCATTCGTTCTTTCATTATTTTCATTAATATAAAATTATTTTTCCGATTTCTGTAAATGCGATTATAACATAAACTCAATTATCCGGACTAGATGAAGTCAACGATTTTCCGGATAATCAAAAATTTGGATAATTCAAGATGCATATAACAATGATATAATACGTATTTGGAGTATCTTATCTCATTTAAAACCCTTTTTGTTGTTCAAAGGTACAGAAATACTATTTAAAATAAATATTGTTTGTTTTATGTAATATTCAATATTCTAGAATACAATTAACACGTTGACTGCGATATCGGTCCCCAGGGACCGATATCGCAATTAGCCTTGGCGCGGACATAATTTTTTACATCCTTGGTAACGGTGCGGAATGTGTAACTTTGTTAATATTAAAGTTAGAAATGCGAATCAAGTAGCTAAAAACTTGTTATAAGTTGCAGTTTTTGAATATCATAATAAAATAATATCGGTCTCGGACGACCTATACCGCATCAGAATAATCACTCATTGCGCTCGTGCTGTATAGGTCCCAGAAGACCTATATCCTCTCCCTACACCCTTCTCCTAATCATAGAAGAACACATGTTTTTTCCCGCCTATTTTTATTAGTCTCACAAAACAACGTGTGGCAACAAGTCGTCTGTTAATTACGTTCCGAAAATGTATTCCTCCCGTGTGATGAAAATGATGGAAATGACAAAAAATACAAATATCATACTGTATCACTTCGGGGATTTAAATGATATAGAAAAGTTATGTTTGAATTTTTATTTGGAACATGCATTGTAAACGCGTGGATTGTCTATAATCAAATTTCGAACAAAAAAATTTCAACCAGGCATGTGTCTTCCGTGTTTTAATAAACTGCATACTTAATTTTGTTAATTTTATTACTTACTTTTATTTTTTAAAACAACTTTTGTAACAGTTTTTAGTATTATAATAAAACACAAGAAATTTTGCCATTTTTCAATAAATAATACCTATAAACAAAGTTACACAAATTTTATTTTCAGTTAAAATTTATTATGTTATTTGGTGCGGTGTAGGTCGCCCGAGACCGATACGAAGCAAAATTTAGTTTCATGTTGGATGTATTTACACATCCCTGTAACAATTTTTAAGTGTTAGTTCTAAACAAATAAATTAGATGGCGTCAAATGGCATTTTGTATATCGGTCTCCGGCGACCGGTACCGCACCATATTAAAGTTATGTTATCGGTCTCCGGGGACCTATACAGTATTAATTACCAATATACCATTTTTGAGTACCGCAGTCAACGTGTTAATATACTTCTTAAAAATATGCTTAAGTTAAATGATTTACACACTAGTAAATTAGTAAGTTAGACAGGACCTTATCATCAATGGTGTAGTTAGAATAATAGTTTTGAATTGAACAATCACAAAATCGATAATTTGTAAATCTGTTTCTGAACACAGATTTGAAAGTTGATCAATTTTCTATAAAATTAGTATCTACATGTGGATTCTTATAATTGAGTTTATTCTGCAATGATCCATGTATGCCTAGCTAAAGTCTTTTGAAAATGATTCAGTGGATTACAAAATGTGTAGGATTGTCACACATGGACAATTTTGTAATTGATTGATTCATTCATGTAGTTAGAACTAACTGGTTCATGTGTATGTACTTCTTTGATCAAGATATCATCTGCCTATTCTCCAATTGCTCTCAGAAATTGAGATCCGAGCAATACAGATCATTGTGGTCCAGGTAGGTGAGTTTATACTGCACTTCGGTTACTGTTAGTAAGTAACTTCTACATACAAATACTAGCATATTAAATTTCATTTAAATCAGACAAAGCATTTCAGAGTTATTTGGATAAAACTAATATTTTAGTCTCTTATATGCTATTGCCCTGGGTCGGTTCATTTATGAATCAATATGTATATACTGTTGCATACTATATTTTCTTCCACTACAAATATAACATTAAAAATATATTACTGCTGTCACAGAAGTAGAAAAATTATTATAAATTTATTTTCCCCAATACACCTCACAAGGAGAAGGCAAGGTAATTGGATTTTTGTAATTTTTTAATGGTACATAGTTTGGACCTTGAATAAGAATTTTCCGATGTAGGTCGACGCAACGTTTATAAATTACAGAGATAATCGATTTTGAAGTTTTACCTGCTAGCTAAATCCAATCGACATGATACATTTTTCAACAGGGAGCGTGGCCTAGTTGGTAGCGTTTGAGTCTAACAGTCACGAGATTGCTGGTTCGAGTCTTGTCGCGGGACACTTTTTTCCCCTCCAATATGGACTATGTTTTTTTTATTCTTTTTCTCATCTCGAAAATTATGAACAAAAAGGTAAAACTTCAAAATCGATTATCTCGGTAATTTATGAAAGTTGCGTCGAACTACTTCGGAAAATATGAAAAATTACAAAAATCCAATTACCTTGCCTTCTCCTCGTCAGCCTCACATATCTGAATTATAATTTTCTACTCATTTTGGATGTACTTTTAATGTCATTTAAATTCTCCTTAAGTTTACTTAATCAAAATAATACAGAATAATTTAACAAAACTTAGACATTAGATGAATACTTACGATAACACGAGCACAGTCTTCGACATCTTGATCTCTCCAGCCTTTTCGCAGTTGAGAATGATGTAATATTTCTTGCCATCTGCCCCAACCAAAGGTAAGTAAACCTCTTTCTACCATGAAACATTCTCTTCTAGCCCAACTGCCATAAACAATTTCACCTCTTTCACCTTCTCTTGGAAAGTATTCATCTCTATATTTTTTCTTCTTCAATTTATTCCTACGGTTTCGTATTCCCAAACCTAGACCTTCATTTTCAGGATCCGAATCTGAAGAACTTTCTAATTCAGACATGTCGATAGCACTTTCATCATGGCCATATCGTTTAATTTGAGTTCTTCTTCTAGGTTCTGATATGACCAAGTCTTCACTTTCATCCTTTTCTGTAGTATCAATTTCTGCTTTTTTCGCCCATTTATTCCAAAAATCTGGATCATCAATTGCTATATCGGATCTGTTAGCACTTGAAGCAAAACTTGCTTTAGAAAAGGTGGATCCCTTCTCAGATTCCATTGTTATGACTTGCGTTCTTCTAGCTAAAATAACATCAATATCTTCTTCACAAAATTTATCTCCATCATCTTCATCCAATAAAGCTCCATATGCACCTTTTTTTAATAAATCTTCAATTTCTTTTTTGCTTAATTGTTTAGTCCCAGTCTCTTTACCACCTTGTGATGTATTCATACTTTGTAATATTGCTTTATCCAATCCAAGTTTTAAAGAAGCTTTATCAAACATTTCCCTTTCATAAGTGTTTCTACATAACAATCTATAGATTTTGACCATCTTTTGTTGGCCAATACGGTGGCATCTAGCTTGAGCTTGTAAATCATTCTGTGGATTCCAATCACTGTCATATATTATAACAGTGTCTGCAGCAGTTAAATTAATACCTAAACCACCAGCTTTAGTGCACAAAAGGAAAACGAACCTATCAGAGTCAGGTCTAGAAAATCTATCTATAGCAGCTTGTCTTAAGTTTCCTCTAATTCTGCCATCGATTCTCTCATAAGGATATTTTCTGTACATAAGATAATCTTCAAGAATATCTAAACATTTAACCATTTGACTGAAAATTAAAACTCTGTGTCCATTGGCTTTCAGTTTAGGTAATAGTTTATCTATCAAAACCATTTTTCCACTGGAATTGATAAGCGACTTGTAATAAGAATCTGGATCTTCTCCATGCTGGTTTTTAAAATCATATTGTATTTGTTCTTCTGCTCCATTCAGTAAGTAAGGATGAATACAACATTTCCTCAATTCCATCATAGTGTTCATCAAATTAGGTATGTTTGCGTGAGTGGTGCCTTTTGACAGAAATGAAAAATTTCTTTCTAGTATGCCTCTATAATATTTCTTTTGAATATTTGTTAATTCCACCTCAACCACTGTCTCTTCCTTTGGTGCCAATGATTTTTCTACATCTTCTTTTAATCTCCTTAACATCATAGGTTTCAACAGACACTGCAACTTTTGCACCTCTTGTTCAGATTTTAAAGCTCCGAACTCTTGGATAAAAGCCTCAGAACTTGGAAACTGATTTGGTTCAAGAAAATTTAACAAAGAGAATAGTTCATTCACATTATTCTGTAATGGAGTACCAGATAACAAAACTCTATGTTCTAAATTTAATTGTCTCAGACCTTCCAATAACTTACAATTCCTATTTTTCAATCTATGTGCCTCATCAATAACACATACTCTCCAGTTGAAACTTTTCAAATCTGCAAAATCTGTTACTATTATTTCAAATGTAGTTATGAGAATATTAAATTTTGTTATATCTTTAATAAATTGTCCTTTCTCGTTTTTATAATACATTTCATATTCTTGGATCATATTTCGACTAGCTGCTGAGCCATGATACACAATGACATTCATTTCTGTCCAACTTTCTATTTCCCTTTGCCAATTTGGTATGGTAGAAAGTGGTGCTATAACTAAAAATGGACCTCTAATACCATATTCCCATACTGCATTAAGAAAGGTTAAACTTTGAATCGTTTTTCCTAGACCCATTTCATCGGCTAAAATACAATTTCTGCCATTGTACCACGAAAACAAAAGCCAATTCAATCCTTCTAGTTGATATTCTCTAAGGCTATTACCACCTTTAAAGATAGGTGATATTTCCAACTTGGTCCAAGATTCCGGGCTAGGCCTTCTCTTAGATTTCCATTTATCCTTTGGAGGTACTTTACTAAATCTTCCAAACTGTTGTATTTTTAAAGGGTCGACATCTTCTTCCAATTCCCAAGTGCAGTCTTCATATTGTAATGCACGCCATTTAACTAAATAATGTTTTACAGTTTCGCCAGTGGTAGGATCTGTGTGTTCTGATAAATCTAAAACTCTATCAATCTCCGTATAATCAGGATTAAATGGTTCATCTTCTAAATTTTCAAAGATATTCATTTGTTGAGCTTGTTTCTGCTTAAATCTCTTTATTTTATTACCTATTCTTTTGTCACCTTTATAAAGCTCTTCTTCAGTCTTCCATTCACAATGTAAATATGAGAAATTGCGATATTTAACATAATATTCTTCCATTTCCACCATTTCTGACAGATTTTCATCATCTTCACCTTTAGATTTATCAGAATCTCGATTTTCAACAGTAACTATGTTTGCTCCTAAATTCACACTATCAACATCTTCAAATTGTTTGTCCTCACCAATTTTGTCTTCAAGTGTTAGTTTGACTTCTGTGTCTTGTTTTATTTCTTTAGGTGGAATAGATTTCTTTGGTCTTTTTACTATTCTTGAGCACAGAACATGCTGCACAACCATAGAATCTTCTTCCGTTGTATTGACATAAACATAATTCATCTGACTTTTACTATCCACAGAATTTTCTTCTACCACAGGAGGAGTATCTGAAGTAGTTGGGAATGGTGGAGTGAGAGGAACAGTTGGTTTTTTACTCTTAGTTGGTGTAACAGGTGCGTCATCATCAGAAAACCTAAGCATAACGTCATCAATGTACTTTTTCCTTTGAGTGTTTCTTGCTGACCTTCTTTTTGTTGATGCACTTTCTGAATCTTCTGGTGGCGAAGGAGGTGGAGTAGAAACTAAATCTTCTCCCTCGCCATCTGATTCAGGCATCATTCCTTTGCGTTTACGATTTGAAGAGCTGCTCTTTCTACTTTTTGCTTTTGTCGATACTACTTTTTTAGGAGGTGGCCGTGGCTTTTTTATCCTTTTAGGAAGCTCTGTTATTTCTGGACTAGGTTGATCTTCAAAATTATATTCATCTTTTTTGGATTCCTCGGTGGATTCAGGAATTGCAACTTCTTCGGAAGGCGTCTGTGAATCAGCCTGTATCTCTTCTAGTTTTTCCTCCATTATATCCAAATTTTCTGGCTGTGTCTCTACATTTATTTCAATGTCTTTTACTATATCAACAGCCTCTGCTTCAGCAATTTCAAGTTGTTCTGTAGCAGATATGGAAATATCAGCACCTTCTACAAATTTATTACAAGAATCATCAGTAGCACTCTCTTCAGACAATTCACCAGATTTTTTCTTTCTTACATATTTACGTTTGACTTTTGGCTCTTTAGGTTCTCTTTTCTTTCTTTCCTTTGGTAATTTAGGTTCTTTAGGTGACTTCGGAGCTTTTAATTCTTTTATAAGTTTCGGTTCTTTTGGTTTTTTAGGTTCACGAGGTTTTCTACCTTTTTTCTTTTCTGGTTCTCCAGTAATTGGATCTATTCCGAGTTCAGTAAAATCAGAACTTTCATTAGAAGGAATGCTTAGTCCAGCCCCAGGAGTTACAAAATCTTCAGAAACTGGCAACTGCTGAGGAACTGCCATGTTCATAGGCATTGTAGGTGCCATTTGTATAGGAGATGCACCTTTTTCTCCCTTCTTAGCTCTTGGTTTCCTGGCTTTAGGTGCACCTTTTCCCCTTCCTCTACCAGTTGTACTAGTAACCTGAGGGCTATCTATCATTGGAGAAGTAAATATTGGACTCTGAAGAACACACTGCGGTCCTCCATTGCATTGCTCATTTGCCTCATGTTGACTTAAAATATTTAACCTTTCCTGTAGATGGGAAATTTTTTCTTGATGTTCAGGAGCTGGTGGCATACAGTATAACTCTTGAATTTGTTGCTGTAAAGCAGCTCTCTCCTGATGATGACTGATAGGAGGTTGATAGGTTTGCATTTCCTGACCCGATATCATACCATGTCCTGTCATATTTGACATCATTCCAGGATGAGTACCCATTCCCATTGGTATACCCGGGTGTCCCATTGGCGGCAATCCATGAGGAGGTAACACCCTTGTTGTACTTAACGGCATACCATTAGGTCCAATAAGTTGTGTATTCTGATCAAATATATTACCGGACTGAGTACTAGGGGGTACTGCAGGAACGGCATTGTGTGGCGTCATATTTGTATTAGAAACGGGAGGAATTTGACCATGAGTGATAGGTATATGTTGACTCATTGGTAGAGTATGTCCAGTAACATTTTGATTTTGAATGTTAGGTATAACTGTTGAGCCTAACATATTTTGTGAATTTTGCTGACTTACAATATTAGTCAAATTTGATTGAACACTAACATTAGGTGACTGTATATTCTGTAAAGTATTTTGACTAGGAATATTGGATAAATCGTTTGACCCAGAAATATTAGGCAAACTGTTCTGACCAGATATACTAGATAAATTATTGGAAAGAGGTATGTTTGACATATTACTCTGACTGGGTATGTTACCCAAGTTACTTTGTACATTTGATGAATTATTTGCACCTTGAATATTTGAATTTTGAGAAGCTGTACTAGTTACACTATTTGGTGAATTTAACACATTACTCTGTGATGACATGTTGGCAACTGGAATGTTTGCACTCTTAATAGTACCAAGAGGTGGAGGAGTTAGGTTTGTTTGTTGTATACATTGAATATTTGGCTGATTCTGCATATTATTAAGGTGTTGAGAGATGTTAGGGAGCATTTGAGATGTTGAAATCACATTATGTCCCATTGGTACTGGTGATGACTGACTGCTGTTTTGACTTTGTATCACCGAGTGAGATTGTGTAGGAGACGGTGGAGTAATGTTAGTAGAAATGTTTTGACTCATATTGTAAGAAAGGAGCTGATTTTCTCTAATATTGTTTGCCACAGAAGATGATAAAGGTGTTGATGTTTGTGAAGTTGGAGACTGTAATCTTGGTGACTGAATTGAAGTTAGTTCAGATTTAGTAGATTCTGCTAATGATTCTTGAGATACTGAATTATCTTGACTAAATACAGATGCATTTGATTGAACTATATCATCCATCTTACTAGTTTTTGGTGTATCCGGTTGACTTGGGTAACCAGACATACTTGATACACAATTAAAATCTGTAAAATTATTCGTTGTGCTACTCTGACTGGGAGTTTGTTGCTGGGATGTTGAACTAGTGTTACTCAGTTCATCAATCTGTTTGACAGAATCACTATTTGAAGGAAGACTTGTGTCTTGAGTATTTGTAATATTATCATCAGTAGTAGATGTTGGAGTAGGAGTAGGTGGATGAGATGAAACAGGAGGAGTTGATGTTGGGACATTCAACTCAATATTAGTAGTACTACTGGGCATTTTATCTGGTATACTTGTAGTCGGTGACTGTACAGAAACAAAATCACTTTGACTGCTCACTGGCATGTTGTGAGGAGTATTAGTTTCTCTTTCTCTAGCTGGAACATCACATAGTGTGGTGGTTTTATTAATGTCAGTTCTTACATCGTCATTTCCAAAACCAACTGCTATATTAGGTGCCGAAGAGAGAGACGTATTTGATAATGAATTTGGAGGAAGTGTCTGTGATGGAGGAATAGCTTGGCTTGTTGGTATGGAATTCTGTTCCATCACTGCTATCGGTCCATTTATATTAGAAATATGTGAAGATCTATTAGGTTGCAGAGGTGGCCATTGTGGTTCTGACATTACATTTCTCATACTCATGGCTGGTGAGAGAGGATTCTGTGGACCAGCTGGAGGACCTAATGAATTTCTCGACTGATAAGGAGGATATTCAGAAGAGCTAGTGCTTGATGGTGGCATCACCATCTGCTCCAATGCTTGCAAAGTACTTTGTTGTGAATATGGTGGCATAGGTACAGGAGAAGCAGCTGTTACTTTCGGAGTCAAACTCGTTGCTGGTCTAGGACTCAGTGTGGCTTGTTGCATTGATGGCGGATGAGGCGACATGTTAGGCTTTGCTGGTGACATTACAGGTCTAGGTGACATCTGTGGTGCAGGAGGCCTAGGTGACATTTGCGGTCTCGGCGACATTTGTGGAGATAACTGAGGAAATGGGGCACGGTATTGTGGACTTGCATTTCCAATAGGCCCTGTTGGATGCTTAGATGAAAACTGTTGTTGAGTAGGTGGAACATCCATAGGCCTTTGCATAGGTTGAATGGTTTGATGACTTTGGTTATAGGCAATAGTACTGGGGTGACCCATTGGACTTGGAGTAGGTGGTTGAGATGAAGAGTGGGGTTGGCTAGATGTATGTCCTACGGAATGTGGTGTCTGTCCCATATGACCAGAGGTAGGACCTCCATGAGGTGGTGGATGAGTTAAGGATTGACCATGACTCATCTGCGTATATTGTTGTGTTTGTGAAACACCAGTCATATCCATTTGATGATGAGTCTGTGGATACTGATGATGATGGGGCAATCTTTGATGTATATATCCTGCATAACTCTGGCCAGCTGCTGAAGTAGGATATCCTGAAGTTGCTTGTGGATAATGAGGTGCATGTCTCTGTTGAATTTGATAACTAGATTGATGTGGCTGCTGCATCATTGGATGTTGAGCTGCAGAAAATTGCTTTTGCTCTTGTTGATGGGGGTATGCAGCCATTGGTTGTTGTCGGTATTGACTCATTTGACTGTATCTGTGCATGCTAGGATATCCAGCAGCAGCAGCAGCAGCTGTATGCTGACTCCAGCTTGCAGCTGCTGCTTGCATATTACTTGATTCTCCCAACCCACCAACCTGAACGTCAGGCATTGAATACATGTTATCGGTTTGATATGGATACTGTCCAGAAGCAGCTGGTGCGGGAGGTCTAACCATTTGCCTTTGATGGGTATATGCTGAACCAGGTGGGCCCATGGGTCTATCGGTACCATAGCCTTGAGCATACATACTTTGTGCATTCGGATCCATGTGATTAAAGTCGGTACCACCAAAAGTGGCCAATTTTTGCAGAGGCGTCTCTTGCGAGTAGGTGGGTTGTGAATAGGCCGATGTTGCATTTCGTGTGCCCGTCACCGCAGGGTCAAAATTAGCACTACCCAGTTCAGGCAAACCTTCCAACATACTACTTCCATCTTCCCCGAACAAGTCGTATGAGTCCATCGCTTTAGGCGGCACATATCGCTTCTTTATTGTTCATCTCACTACAGCATCTCTGAAAATATGTAATTTTTTAAAATTATACATCTTTCACTATTGCCTTTCGTACTTTTAGTTTATTTAAAAATATTAAAGTAATTTAAATTCTATTTTTTTTTCTAAATTCTCATCAAAAGAAGCCACATACATAATCTGATAGCAAATATCCAGGTAGGTATACTAAAGAATAATTCCATCTGCAAGCAGATCATTAATTTAAAATAAAAAATAATATTTCCAAAATTTTTTAAGGTAGCTACAAACGACACTGGGGATTATTGCTAGAATGGAACAAATTGAATTTAATGGTGTTTTGTAAGACAACCGACGTTTAACCTTTAGCGTTACAAAACGCTTTCATTAAATTCAACATAGATCTGCCAGTGACAGCCGGCATTCATCACTACCTTAAAAACCAAATATTTTGATAATTTATTAATGATTAGATTCTCTAAGGAGTTATTTTATATATATCGAGAATAGAAATGTGCCTTCCACGATGCTTAAATAAAAACAAATAAACTTCGAGATTAGGTTATGTTAGGTTTTTCTGTATAAAAAACGTAGGGAAAACCTAAATCATAAAAGTTATTCCACTAGTTATCTCTGGCCTACATCACATGAAAAACGCAAATTTGGAGAGTCTTGAAACAAAGTGAATTTGAATGTCTCTAGATTCTTGTGAGAATAGATGGTGTCCTAAAATCAGTCTTTTCTTTGAAAAGAGTCCGCAATACATGGCGATATTATTGTATAACAAGTTACCGAATAGAATAAAATTGATATATAATCGAAAAATTTATAAGCGGGATGTTGAAATTTTGTAATGGTACACTGCTTCTATTCTGTACTGTACATGAATTATTTATCTGGTATATTGATTTAGTTTCATATTTTCTACTTTATCTACATCTTATTTGTATTTTATTGTCAGTCTTCTGTATGTATGTTATATTTTTATATGTAAGTCTTTAGGCACATTTATATTTGTTAATTCCCATGTCATCATTGCAATGAACTTATGGACAATAAAATTATTATTATTATTATTATTATTATTATTATTATTATTATTAGACCTAGGCCCGGTACTTTGAGTCTCGGTTAAGGTTTGATTAAGTAATCAGGCGAATAGACTGTGATTATAATTTATAAAGAAATCAGAATATGTATGTATTTATAAAGAAATCAGAATATGTACAGTCTTAGTTAATCAAGCCTTAACCGAAACTCAAAGTACCGGGCTCTAGAGTTCTGACCGCAAGGATTTTAAACCATTTTTAACTTCCAGTTATACCAGAAATTTGTCAACTTCTTTATTTTAAATGGAGCAGTCTGCACATAATTGTGTTTTTGAAAAGAGCATCAAATTTTCAATGAAAAACGTGGATCAAGTTCTGTATCTAGATATAGCATGAAGTGTTTGCAATTAAAGTAAGCATCATGATAAATATTATTTTATTTATATCTAAATTTGCTGTAAAGCCATGAAATGAGTGAACAACAAAATACATAAAAAGAAACCAAAACTAAACAGAAAATATGTACAATATCATGAACACAAAATATATATGTGCAAAAAGTACAACACATATTTTAGTACATGTTGAGTAGATGTTTCTTATTATATTTAGCACATAGGTCGCATTTCTAAAGAAAAAAAAAAAAAAAAGAATGTGTTAATACAGCTACTGCGTATGAGCAGTGTGTCTGCTGATGGCGTCTGAAAATGAAACCTACAGCATGTGTTGAACAGAGTGCCACGACAAATACCGGCGGTGTATATCAACAAAATATGTACTCAAAAAATAAATAAACAAATTTGAAAGCCTCACTAATATGACAAATTTACAGGTTTTTTATTAAAATACTTCAAAAGTTAGGTACTAAAAGTTAATTTGGCAAGACGAACCAAATGACACTCAACCTGTTATTATTAAGGCTGCAACTTTTTGGGATATTTTATATTTCTTTAATTTTTAATAACATTTTACAATGTACATAATAAACGTAATAACAATAAAATATTGACAATATGTTTCAAATATTTGATGAATATAGCAAATATGAAGTTATTGAAATATCATGTACCCAGATTGAATTCTCGCCATGCCATAACATTTAAATGTCCCACCGCTTACACTAACATATTACTTAAGGAGGTTCAATACCGAAAAAAAAATGGTAAGAAAGTTTTCGAAGCAATTAAAATCTATTAATAAATATGCAAACTGTCTCGTGTAAAAATATCAGATCGATTGCCAATGTAGTTTTTTTTGAAAAATGATATTAAAAATTATGCTCTTATACATAGGCTCTTATGGGAGTTGGGGCAAAAACTTTAAACAAACGTGAATATTGCTCTTAAAAATGGTTAGGATCGGGAAAATAAAATTGTAATTAAAGAATTAAATATTACTAAACATTTTAAAACAATAAAAATATGCACTTACAATGTAATTATTGAGATAATGGAATGAATGGAAATATGGCAACACTGTACGCTGTATTTAACGCTTCGACTGACGCGCTGTATTTGAATAGCTCGATAAGAGACTATAAAATTATTCCAGTCGAAAACATATGTAGTAATAATTAATATTAAATAAATTTTTCGTGATCTAATGCAATATAATAGCAGTTTGAAACAAAAATTGAAAGGCTCTCTTTGCAAAACGAACAGTATAGATGTTCTGTCATAATCTTCAATTTGACAAGGCGACGTCTCACTATCATACAGTGAACTTCTTGATAGTTATCATATGGATTCTCGGTTTGCACATTTTACTTTTTTCTCATCAATCCACATTCTGTTTCATACGCATTTTATATTACTTTTCAGTCATTACTTTTCCTTTGTACCTTGGATGTTCATTCATGTTTACGGAATAAGCGCAAAGTTGACAGTAATGACAGTTGACCCAACTTTTACCACTACGCCATAACAATGTTGCCAGATTTCATCCATAATTTTACAAGCTCTTAATGAATAAATAGACACTTTTATTCAAATAAAAAGTTAATTGCCGTGCATTAAACACGAAAAATATATGCAAGCTAATATGTATTGTATAAATTTCATTAGTATAATATTATATTTAGTTCACTCAAATTAATTTATGTAAGGTTGGTACTACAACAAAACTACCGTGTATAAGCATAGGCTTCCCTCCCACACTGCCTGCCCCGCAAGAGATGTATCGAACATCCTTAAATCGCCGATATATTTGATGATATCTAATTTTAATAATATTGTAGATTATCAAGTTTGTTAAATGTTGCTAAACAATATTTTGTTGTTACAGAAGTTTAGTTTTGTTCGACAGTCACAATTTGAAATGTTCCTTATACTTCATGTGATGTTGATTGCCCATTGAAATATATTTATCTATGTGATACCTTTTATTCCATTTAAATACATATTGTAAAAATTATCTCTAGTACATAACATTTTATTGTTTATTTACTTTTAAATTATTGTCCTGTAAATGGTTTCTGTTGGGCAATGTAATAAAAAAAAGTAATCATACATTGTAAAGAGTATCCCAAAATATTTTAATTAAAAAGTTGGCAAAATTTTTACATGTTTTTAAAAGGTAGACAATGCCATTAAATATGAGAGGATATCGGACAAACGTCGTCTGCGATTCATTTGGCATACTCGATTTCTTTTAAGAAAATTCTGTATCACGCTTTCGCATACCTGCTGCTGAATTTCATTGATAACTCTCGGAATTTCAGCATTTAATTCGGAAATGGTATTCATTTGAGCAGAATAAACTTTGATCTTTACAAATCTTCACAGAAAAAAGTCGCATGGTGTGAAACCGCATGATCTTGATGGCCAAGTCACTTCACTGTTACGTGAGATGTGTTGTTCATTAAATTTCTGTCGTAACAGACAGTTTCACGTGCTGTATAACAGATGGCACCATCCTGCTGGAACCACATGTCATACAAATCCATGCCATCCAAATGAGGCCACAAAAGGCCACAGTTGCCACTGTGAATAAAGATTATTGAAAATCTAAAGATCGATACCAAGTTTCATTTAGATCTTATCCATTTTAAAGTGCAAAAATGTGTTTTTGATATTGCACCTATATCATATTAACTTTTTTAATAAGCGGTTTCAAGACCATGTTCACAGTGAATTTTTACATTATATTTTAGAAATACCTGTACTGTGATCATGTGTGGTAGAAGGAATGAATTCAAAACTAGACAAGTAGAGAACGTATTTTATTAGTATTCTATTTCAAGTGCTGTTGTGCAACTTTTATTAAGCAACTGATGGTCTAAATGCTTGTTTTTCGAAAAAATTAACCATAAATGTAAGCCGACCCTGTGCATCTTGCGCACGTGCATTGTGTGTTGCAGTATTAGTCGCGACGTTGGCCGAGAAGTATATTTAATAGTACCGTGCGGCGTGTACTACGGGAACAATTATTACACCTCTTTTATGAACAAAGGGTTCAGGCATTAAATAACAATTTTTGCCAGTGGTTTTGCATCAAATAGCAAGAGATCCGAATTTTACAGGCAAGGTGGTTTTTACGAATGAATGTTGGTTTACTGGAGACGGCATACTAAATTTTCACAACATTCACTATTTGTGTAATGCAAATCCTCACACTGTACAGAGATTTCGGTCCCAGCAACGATTTTCAGTGAATGTGTGGTGTGGTGTTTTTGGTGACAGTATTTTGACCGTAGTTTGGAAGCATATTTATTAGCACATGGAAACAACTTTTGAACAATTTTTATTGAGCATATCGTCTATTGGTAACTAATTCGTTTCTTTATTTAATTTTTGTCTTACTTTTAAACAAGATTTGAATAAATTTCAGCACTTTCTAACACAAAATTTAAACCGACAAAGCGGGTACAACTGACTGTCGCACCAGAGTTGGCTTAAAATTTGTTTAAACCTTTATGTGAATTTTTTTTTTTTCAATTTAAAATGCAATGTTTTAGACCCTAAGTTGCTTATCTATCCCCTTTTCAAGGAACAAA